GCGTGCTTCAAATTGTGAAGGGCTGAATTTTGGGGAATGTTGCCTACAGAAATCAATAATTATATTTGTTTTTGGAGATGGTTGAGCTGGACCGGTCGCCAGAGGGCTGTTCGGGGAAGAAGAGAGATCACGATGCCTGGCTTGCTGCGCGTGCGACTGTTTGTGTGGACAAACCAATTGAAAGAGGGCAGCTGCGCAATTTGTTTCCAGAAGTGGCGTCTAGAAGGTCGGCAACGCTTTCAACGAAGCTGTGCAAACTTTTCTACTGCCGATCTACAACCAGTCTGGCTCTGATTGCCCCTCCATTTTTGCTTCGGTTGAGTGCAACATGCGCAGTTCGCCACCCATTCTCACCATAAGACATTGTAGTTGTGTTCCCAACAGCATAACATAATCATCAAACAAGAATAGAAGGAACTTCCGTGGTACAGCTGCTATTTGAATGCTAGTTCTTTGAGACAGATGAAAAGAGAAGAAGGCACGTGGAAACAAAAAACCATATGCGCGTGTGGCGGGGTCAAGGAAAAGACAAGAAAGTGAAGCCCTCTACGGGTTTCCGGGCTCTGGAATGCTCGAAAGTTAGCCAGCTCGAGACGCCTGGTCGGAGCGCATTCGGAGCGATCTCGGGGCGAAAGGAAGACATAAAGAAAGAAAGAAAGAAAGCGATAAAGAAAGAAAGAAAGAAAGAAAGAAAGAAAGAAAGGAAAGGAAAGGAAAGGAAAGAAAGAAAGAAAGAAAGAAAGAAAGAAAGAAAGAAAGAAAGAAAGAAAGAAAGAAAGAAAGAAAGAAAGCGATAAAGAAAGAAAGAAAGAAAGAAAGCGATAAAGAAAGAAAGAAAGAAGGAAAGAAAGAACGCGATAAAGAAAGAAAGGAAGGAAAGGAAAGAAAGAAAGGAAATGCAAGAAAGAAAGAAAGAAAGAAAGAAAGCGATAAAGAAAGAAAGAAAGAAAGCGATAAAGAAAGAAAGAAAGAAAAGAAAGAAAGAAAGAAAGAAAGAAATAAAAGAAAGAAAGACAGAAAGAAAGCGATAAAGAAAGAAAGAAAGAAAGCGATAAAGAAAGAAAGAAAGAAAGAAAGAAAGAAAAGAAAGAAAGAAAGAAAGGAAAGGAAAGAAAGAAAGAAAGAAAAGGAAGGAAAGAAAGAAAGAAAGAAAGAGAGAAAGAAAGCGATAAAGAAAGAAAGAAAGAAAGCGATAAAGAAAGAAAGAAAGAAAGAAAGAAAGAAAGCGATAAAGAAAGAAAGAAAGAAAGAAAGAAAGAAAGAAAGAAAGGAAAGAAAGAAAGAAAGGAAAGAAATAAAGAAAGAAAGACATAAATAAAGAAATAAACAGAAACGGAAAACCAAGTAGATCAATCAATGAAGAAATACAGCAAGAAAACAAGCGCGCAAGAAAGAACGAAAGAAAATTGATCAAGAACGATAGAACCCAACAAAGAAAGAAAGAAGGAAAGAGGGCAGGCAGGAAGGAAAGAAGGAAAGGAATAAACAATCAACGGCAAAAGATGAGGAGAAACAACAAGAAAAAGGACAGCATATCATAAAGAACAGTCTATCTATAGTTTTGATCTTGCTTAACAAATCCGCCCACCGGCTTTGCCGGCTCTACTGGTACTCAGAACGAATTTTGTTTTGCAATACTCATAGACTGAAGTAAGCGCAACTGGCCGCGCACGGGACAAAATACGTGTGCAACACTGCAACGAGCCTTTTTGATGGCCTGAGCAGATGGAGCAGATGGAGGGAAGTGAGGAGCCAGGCGGAGAAATTGTAGAGGGTCGCTAAGTATGGACCCAATTCTTCTCCTCGAAGGCCAGGCGATCCGTGCGATTGGCAGGCGGCATGTGCGGGGCTCAGAGGAGAGGATGGTTATGCTGACACCGAGTTTGTTTGTTACAAACCGCGCCCAATGCCATTTTCAGCCAACATGACATCCCATTTTGTGACTCAATGTCCAACTTGCTTGAAAACTTTAAGCAACACCAGTCAGAGTTGTTGTGTTAAGTTTTGTTGGCACTTGCCTCTTTCGATGCACCATGTACGGGTGGGGTAAAACACTGCCTGCTCGGCCGCAGCGCCTTTGACTTGAAGAAATTGGACAGTTTGCAAGCTGGAGGCTTGGAACTGGCCTGTCTATTTAAGCAAGTCGGTGTTGCCCCAGCCGATGACTCCCATGATTCTTTTCCATGCTCTGAAAAGGACAACGGTAGCGGAGAACGGGAAGGCCAGAGCACGGCGGCACAGATGGCGCCTCATCGCGTACATACAAATCAGCCGCAGCCAAGCCATCGCGGTTGTGACACGTGTCCTCGTCGGTCAGATATGCGAGAGCGCATGCTATGTCACGCAACGCAAGTTCATGCTGTACGTCAAATGTCAAGAGAAACGAGACGCCGCCTGAGCACAATTAGCCCAAGCCTAGGGATATTGAATTCGTTGGCAGAAGAGCTTGCTTATTTGGGACTCATTTTCTTAGCACGTATTTCTTTGGCCCTGTGTTGAAGCATCTTGCCAGCTTGAAACTTCAGGCAATAGGTTCAGTTTCTTCGGAAAGCCTCAGCATTGTGGCTTGCCAGATCATGTTTAGTCAGACTATGGACCCCACTTCGCCAGCCAGGGCGCATGTCAATCGGTGCTTTTGCAACAGTGTTTCTCAACGAGACGCTCCGCTCGAACTATCTGACACGCGAGGTTTCGGATGAAAGGATCCGATCTCCAAGGGAGGAAACCAATAAATTCATGACAATCCCGGGCACCAGAGACTCACGTTTTTCAGCGCCATGTATGCAAATATACAGTGACAAGGCTTCACAGAACGAAACACCTGCCCAATTCGTGGCCCATTTCGGGGCCCATGACTCGGCGAATGAAGACTTCAAATACCTGAAGGGGACATGAACTCAACACCTTGTGAGTTTGAAGTCCTTCATTTTGTCCAAGAGACGCATGTGTTCTCTTGCAGCTGGGCAGAAGATCGGGGCATTTGTGCTTCCTTCAGAGCCAAGCAGCTGTTGGCGGAGTGGAGCTTATGGGGTTTTGCTTTATCTGGATTTGTTCCTTGAAAGCCGTGTTCCAGCCTGGGCTTACCTCCGTTTGTGATTTGCAAGAGAATAACGTTGTTTGCAGCAAGTAGGGCTGGTAAGCTGGAAGCAGCCGAGGACAACCGTCCCCTCGTTCTAAGGCAACAAAGAAGTCAGACCACAATTCACGCATTGATCCCCCTGCCCGTTCCCTAGATTTAGGCTGAGCAGAAGAGGAACTTTGGGCGAATGGGCAACAGCATTTCGGCCATTCAGCTTCATAGTTTGGAGGAAACTGGAGCACCTGATGCCTGGCTGCCTGGGTTTTTACGGGGCTTCCGACTTCGTGCATGTTCAAGCACTTTTTTCTCACCTGCCAGTCCCCACCAGGCTCGCTTGAGGTCGCCTGGCGTGCAACCGAAATAGAGGAAGGTTACGTGCAGGATCGCTGATGTGATCACCGTGGTGCTGGGAGGCCTGCGGACGAAAATAATTGCCGCCTCACGCAAAGGGGAAGCAACTAGGAGGACTTGGGTTACATCATTTGGTTCGAGTATGTTGATCGGGTTGCATTGCTGTATTTCCTTTAGATTTCATTCTTTTTGGAGGTCAAATCAACCAAAGAGCTTCGGGCGCTCGCCTCGAAAGGGACAGGGGAGCGACCTGGGAACCTCTGACCTTTCTTCGGGGGGGGCACGAGACTCCGGCGGGCCCAAGCTCGAGCAAAATGCTCTTCCATTTCAGCAACGATGTGGGCAAAACCTTTGCACTGTGCGTTGAAGTCTGGAATGCAAGTTTCAGAGAAAATCGTTGGCCCACGACAAGCTGCAATTCTTGGATCTCTGCGCTTGGCATGCTTGGGGCGTCTTGCATATGCTGTTGAATCTAAGCCACACATGTTGCACACTGCCGGCTTGCACCCTACTCTGCACGCAGATCCAGTGAACATGCTATACCCTCTCGGTGACTGACAATGCCACACTTTCAGAGGCGAAATGCCGTGCCGTGGCTTCATTTGGTTAAGTGAAAGCAAGCGCGCAAAGAAATCGAGACATGCCCAAAGCAAAAAGGTAAAAGAGGCAGGTTGTACCTTTTGCTTTTAGTTTTTACTTCTGGGTGGCTTGGGTCTGGCAACTTTATTTTTGTATGTTTTTGCGTCATTCACATAGTTTTTGTTGCTTGGGACCTTTTGCTCTTCCTTTTCCCAAAGTCAACAATAAAACATCCATGTTTCCATACACACCGTCCACAGTAAAAACTAGATGCTTCTTGCTTTTTACTCTTCTCTTCTTTTTTACTTTGTATGTTACGCACCGGACATTCTGTTACTTTTGCCTGTTTCTTTTTACTGTTTCTTTTTAAAACAAAACTCTTTTGTACTTTTCCAAGCTGTACTGGTAGCTTGCACTTTCTGCAATCGGCATTAGAAACACCGGGTCACGCCGCCATGAGCGGCGCTGATGGCCCGTACAGGGGGCTAACGGAGGGATGTACCCACTGTTGTCACGGCTCACTGTGTCCCTTTATCTCAGAATCGGTAGGGAAGTATCAGGTGATGGATGTAGAAGTTCAGGATGTGTCCTGGTTCTATGATGTCCTTATCTCACTCCTGTAAGCAGAAGCGGTCGCACTGGTATGTAAGTAAGAAGGGCCTTGGGCCAATATGGTTGCGTGAAACATGTGATTGCGTGAAGATCAGTCGACCAACCACAGACACACATTTCTCTTTGACAATCAGCATTGAATTGTGCTTCTTCGCCATATTTGCATCAAATGGAGAAACATTCGTTGCCACGTGATTGTTCCAAAACCATGATCCTTGCAGTTTGCTTGATGTTACCCGCACTGACATACTTTGACAACTCGCGACCGTGTGTGACTCTGACCCGCTTACCTCATCAGACATATTCCTATAGACGATGTTCATGGCAATGACTTGTCAACCGAATGGAACAGCTGTTGAGGTTGTGCCTGGGCCGGTTGATGTATCGTGTCCAGGAGTCCTTCTTGTAGCTTGTGCTCTGACCAGTCTATCCACTCCTGGTCGCTCTGTTGAGACTTGCGCCAGGCTCCTGTCGTGGCCGCTTCGGCTTGTTGGGCTTGATGTAGACCGTTTGGGGCGCATGTCGGTCTGAATGACAGGTCTCACTCATTCGCGCTTCATTGTTGCCTGAAGCGATCAAGCTCCCTTTCTTCCATGCTCTCACGCGTCTTGTATCGTATGTCATAGTCGCCGTGCTCTTCGGTCGTGGCTCTATCCTTTCTTTGCGTAGAAGACGAGCCGCGTGATGTGGACAGAGTGTCATACGAATCCCTGTCAGAAGTTGCGTGTGCCACGAATGACGAAGTCTTCTCGACAGCGAATGGCTTTGAAGGATGGTCATGATTTGCGGCTGGTGGCACTTCTGAAAGTGGAGCTGGTGGCGCTGGTGGCGGCCCTTCCAGAAAGATTGACTTCCGTGAACCAGTCTTGGTTTTGCTGGTCACCCTGCTAGTCATAGCATTCATCTTGCTGCTGATGATGGGTGGGTCGCCCAAAGTGTGGACGTTGACCTCCTGATTTGTCAGCAAGCTGCTGACCTATCAACGTCGAGGTATGACCTGCTCCTCATCTTATCTCTTCTGAAGTGACCCGTCGCACTTGTGGAACATAAACGCCTACTCAATTTTTGTCTTATTGTGCTTCGGAAAGTCGCCATACTTCGCACATACTTCGGAGCACAAGGTTGCATTTCCGCAGCCCCCGCAAACAAAGCGTCACGCAATGTGGTGCTTTGTTTCTCGACGAATGCGCAGAGTTTTCACAGCTCCTGCCTATGGTCCATTGTTTCAATGGCACCTTACCTGAAAGCCAACATGACTGCGCGATGCTCAAACGAAGCTATGTTTATCGCGCAAGCTATTGACTCGCCAGACAGGACATTCCTTCCAGAGCATTACAAGGAGATGCTGCAAATTCCAAATTGAAACGCCGCTAAGGCGTGTCCGATTCACAACGTCAGTGCTGCCACCCTGAGCAGTTCGGGATGCCGCTGGTGAAATCGTTTCCATAGATTTCCACCCATCAGAAAAGTTCAGTTCACACAACTGACACGCCTTCCCATGAAGTTGCACTCACACGCATGCCAAGAGGCATTTGCCTGCGGCTGGATGGCTTGAACGTGGAATGCCCACCACACATGTGTGAGCAGCATTCACTACGGATTGCTTAAACTGCAAGAGCTACCTAAGTCACACAGCATATGTGCAGCGAACGGGGCTTCCTCTGATACCAGAAGAAAAACATGCTCCCTTTACTCCTTCGCACTTTGACATGCCCACAAGAGCTTCCGCAGAGACGAAGATTGAATTGTGTATGTCCTACTTTCACGGGTGCGTAAGCTGGATGATCTGATCTCAGTGGGCCTGGATGAGAACATTCGAGCGATTATTGAGTCGGCAAACTTGGTGGGAAGCTTTGACCAACTGTTCGCCGCACAGCGGCGCAAACTTTTGCAAGTTGCAGCGAGGCTCGGGAACGACTCTGCTGGCCGCACAGCGAAAGCTGACCGTTTCTGCTGACCAAGTGCTGAGAACAACTGTTGCAATTGAGCGTGGTTCGCACTGTTTGGGGCCGATGGTAATCTAGTTATCTCTTCCCAGCGGGTTGAGCGCCCCTCCGGTTCGCGAGCCCCGTAGGCCCGGGCCCGTGAATAGTGAGCCGTTTCTCCTGCGCTCTGAAAATCCTGCATGCTCCTCGCATCGTTTGTTGCCGGTGTTCAAGTCTACGCTGGAGGAAAGCTGGCTTTTGGTCTCCATGCCTCTAAATTTCTGGATTGTTGATGATGAGCTGGGTGCTTGACTTCGTAGTGTCTGACAAGGGACCGAAACTGACCATGCTGAAATGGCGTCGGGTTGCGTGTCGCCGGATGAAACGCTTAGTCCTCAGGGAGATCCCCGGGTTGACTTCTGTCTCATTCTCATGCCGTTTGAAGGTCTTACGCCAAGAACGATGGTCCCAACCTTAGGAAGCTCCTGATCTTCATCTGTCCTTCCTGGGATACAAGATGAAGTGGGGCCGTTGGACTTCTTGAGACTGGTCTGTGTTGAGCCCGGTGATCTTCGGACCTGACGTGCTTGAGACTTTCTTGTGTCGGGTTCTGTTTCTCTTTCATCTCCATGGGCGAAGTCTAATCATAGATTGTCCTTGGTCTTGGTCTGAGAAGACAGGGACCTGCCAGTTCCAAGAAATCGTTGGGAAGACTCGCGACACTTCCGCACCATCCTGGAGTCATCTATCTTGAGCTCATCTCCTTTTTCAGGTGGGGCGCTGAGGCGTGCGTGGCCAGGCTCGCAGGCACCCATTGCTTGAGTTCTGTGGATGGTTAAGCGCACCAATGTCAGCATGTCAAGTGCCAGATTTTCGGAAACTCACGCAGCAACTTTTTTTTAGCGTGACCAGGGGTTGTGCGCTCCAGCAAGCGAACACGGCTGCTGACAGCCCAACTACTTCGAAATCTGTGATGTTTGGGCCTTGACTTGTGTTTGCGCGCGATCCTTTCTACAAGAACGCCTTCCTCTGCAACGCTGGAGCGTCAACGTTCGAAAGGAACCTTGAAGACTGATTTACGCGCAAGCCCTCCCAGAGCCTGCCAGCCACCAAGCGTCGGCGCCGGTCATAACCCGCAGCAGAATCCAACCTGCGCAAGCCTGAGCAATGGGTGCACCAGGTCAATGGGACGCTGGCGCGCAATCCAGCGACCTTCATATTATCCTCCTGTAAGGGTGTAGAAACGTTCTGTTTTGCTGCTCCACTTCTCGAAGGTTCTGGTCACAATGCTGTGTTTGAGCAACACGCGCGGTGCCTCACTGTCATTGCATCAACGTATTGCCGAAGTGTCTCAGGGTCATTTGGATCCGCATAGGCTCTGGATGGCGCTGTGCGGCTTGTCTTGCATTTGCTTCCTGTACGCATCAGGTCGTTCCATGATGATTGGAGAAGCAAATCTCAAACTTGGAAATTAATGCGAGGAACTCGTTGTTGTGTCTACGGTGGCTGAAGACTACACATTTGTAGCTCCCTTCCGGAAGTACTTCTTGAGCGTGTGTTCTTGAATAGCTCACTCCTTCATTGGGATTTCCGAGCTGGTCGTTGTAGCAACTCAGTACATGAGTGCGTCGCCGCTAAATCTGCTGTGGAGGACAGGTCGCCATTTTTCTGGCTCCACTGATGTGAGTGTGGCCCAGTCATCTATGAGCTCCTCATATTGAACCAGCCCACACGTCTGTCGTACAAGGGCGGCAACTTGGCAGTCATTGACACACTGATTGTTTCCTTGTGCTTCTGCCTGCGTACTTGGGGCTTGTAGCCCCGGAGAAATGTCCCTGCACTTGCCTCAGAACTGGTAAGGAAGCATCAAGTGATGGATGTAGAGGAAACTCAAGATGATGTCCGTATCTCAGTCCTGTAAGCGCAAGCTGTGGCTCCTTTGTCTTCGCAAGTAAGAAGAGTCTTGGGCCAAAAGTGTTGCGTGAAACCTGGAAAACACAGAACGGGGGGGGGACACTGGGCTGAAACGTTTGTTGTCTAACACGGAACCGTCCCAGCTATATCTCAAGGTGGGCATAGGAGACCGCAGATATCCGCCGCAGTTGCCTCGAGAAAATCCAAGTTCGGGTTGATCAATCTGCTTGGCTTGTTTTCGCGGCACTCTCAGACAGCACGTGAATTTTTAGTCTGCATGCCCCCTGCGCTCTGCAGTTAATTTTCATTTGCGGTGTGAATGCAAACCTCAACGCAAGCTCATGTCAATATGAACACCCCGCCACCCCCACCCCCGGCTCGAGCCGCGGGCACGATCATGTGAATGTGAACTATGCATTTCAGCAATCCGTCAGCGATCTGTGAGCACCATCAGCAAGTGGTGCCATGAACATTAAGCATGGACCGTCGGCCAATCCGCCCCGTTAGGTCTGTCTGTGCTCGACGTCCAGAGCCCAAGGTGCTCCGATGCGCGGTCAGTGTCGGGAAGTTAAGGGATCCTTTGACGAATTCACCACCGCGTACAAATGCTTTTTGTTGTTGGGCTGGGCAGGACAGAGCTTTAGTAGAAGGCAATCATGGCATGAAGGATTATGCGAGGGACATATTCTGTGGATGACCAGGTCTGAGGCCTGAGTTTGGCAGCTTCGTTTCTCTGTGTTTGCATACGATTCATCTTCTCAGCTCTCCTCCACCTCTCCTTCGAGTGAAGGTGCGTACGGCAGCCTGGGCTGTTGAGCTAGTACTTTTTGTGCCAGGAGACTCTGCAGCCGCGCGAGCTGGTGTTAGCGGAGGAGGTTACGGCCTTTTTTGGTACTGGTTTGTCACACCCAATACACTCAGAGCAAGGCTGAGTCCGTAGGTGAATTTCATGCGTTGCCTGATTTCCGGGCAAGTTGGGCCGATTTGCCCACAGATGGCCTCAAGCGTTGATTTGGACGTGTTTTGACTACTGCTTTGAGATACAGATGTGTTGTTTTTGTAGCGGCGAAAATGGTGGTTTTCGTTTTGGTTTCCCTCCAAAACCACAAAAAAGGTAGCGCCAAGAAAGGATCACCCATCTTGCTTCTTTACTAGACAAGTTTGTGGGGACAAAGATACAGTCGTCAAACCACCACTCAACCATCACTGCCAACAGCCCTCTCAGGCTTGAGCAAACGTCTTGCTGGCCAATTCAGAACACTGGCTGTCGCAATGCGGGCCAAGCGGAATCAGCCACTGGCAATGAATGAATGTAGGCAACATAGACTACACCGATGTCCGAGATGCGCGTTGCGGGGTGGCCAAATGTTTTGCAAAATCAGCCGCAAATACCACGTCCCAGATTTCATAGAGCAACAAGTAAAAGCTTGAATGAAACAAATGCGGCACCAATGCAGCAATGTTGTCCAACTGCGGAACTGTGACAGCTGGAACTCAAATCCAGGGTTCCACTGACAATGCCGAGCATTGACTTGACTCGGCAACTGCAAACTCTACATGAATGCATACTTATGCCTGAATGTTGGCTTCAGTTGAACTCCGCGGTGCATGTTTAGACATCTTCCCATGGATGTGCAACAGAGACAGCCATTTATCATCAAGCGAAATAGACGACGGGCTGGCTTTGGTTTTGATTGAATATTGTCTTGCTGGTTCTCAGCAGGGAATGAGGTCCTAGGTTCACTCCCAACACCCTGGCAAGTTGTTTCCTTTGAGCCTGGCACTCCTGATGCCATGCTCTGATGTTTGCTCTACCTAACCCGAATTCTAGCGGCTGATGGACTGCACCAGCCTGGTCAGTCGCAGGTCCAGCTGCTGCCAGATCTCAGGCCAACGTCCAGAAGCGAGAGATTGTGAGAAGTTTCAATGAATTCAGTTGCCATCCCTTGATCAACGCTTATTCACTTGAATATGCCCGGAAGTGACGTGCTTCTCAACACACGGGCTGAGAGCCTCCACCAGGTGGAGTTCAAGTGGACCTGCTTAGCTGGCAAATGCCTGTTGAAGAGAGCATAATGCAGCATTGTATTGTTGTCAATACTGTGCTGTGAGTCTTCTCTCGAGACGGTTTTCTCAATCAGCATTTTGTGCACAGCAGATCCATCAAGCCAACTATGTCGGGCAATTCCTCAGTGGTCAAGATAAAGCTTGCTCGCGGCGTCTTGCTAATAGGTTCCAGAGGTTGATCACAACAAAACGATTCACACCGCACCGTTTTTCTCAGCAACGCCGGATGCCATATACCGTCACAGTTTACGTCGTGGGCATCAGGATAGGTTAGGGTCGGATGCAAGGAAGCACGGCGCCCACACCTAGGGCTTCCTATTTCAAGGGGTTGTCATTCTACCTTTTGGAAGAATGGGCCTTGACAATGGGAAACATCATATTTGACAGCTGAAAAACACACACACAAGCAGACGCACGCGCAGTCGCAAGCTTTCGCTTGAGTTACGCTCGGCTAGGCGCTCAGCTTGCCGCCACACTGGTTTCTGAGGCGGGCCGGCGGCGTTGCGTGTACCCAGACAATTCCCGTCGTTCAGGCCTGCGGCCCCAAGATTCTCACGCTCAATGGGCAAGAGCTTGGTTAGCCCTCCCTGGCAAGGGCTACCGCTGCTCCAAACAGGTTCTTACAGAAGTTCCCGCGATTTCCCAAGATGTGTCTCCTGTGAAGAGTTGTGCCAGGGTTCTTGGTGTTGCTGCGCCAAATTTATCGCATCTCTTGCAAGGACTCTGTGACAATGACAATCTTTGGGGCCTGCGGCCTCTAGCCGGCTACGCCTCTTTGAAGCCAGACTATGTCATGCCGCGTTTTTTTTCAGAAACGTATGCTGTGCTGTGATATGTCTGGTCCCCCAGAACGAGCAGCCCAAAAAGAACAGCCCGCAAGCCAGGCCGGAAACGCAAACGCAACAACACACCGCGAATAGCAGCGTTTTCAACAAAAGCAAAACGGAGAGAACAACAGCCCAACGCTCAGCGTAGCAGTTTTTGACGGTATTTACGGCGTTTAGTAGAGCAAGGACCCAGCATCGCCGGCATGCCCGGCAGCGCTTGGCACCAAAATGCGCGAAAATGAGCTTTGCTTATATTGCTTTGGCACCTTTGCTGTGCTTCATGGGTTGAGAGGCTTTTTGGAAGGAAGTCTTGATGCTGCAGACCAAGCCCTCCTGAAGCATCGCCCAAGCCCAACCCCACACCCCGATGATGTCAGCCGCACGACCCAAATGTAGCCGGATAGTGAGGAGTGCCGCCCTGTGGCGCCGACCCTTCTTTGCAACAGGTTTTGTGGTCAAACCGCTAGTTGCGGTTCAATGCTTCGGGAGCCATGGAGCTTTGTGGGCGCGGCGCGATCCTTTTGTCGCTGAAGATGATCAGTTCGCCTGGCATATGTTTTGCGGGTCGAGGCGCCGGAAGGCGCCAAATGGCCCGTGCCCGGGCCTGCCAAGGTCTTGCCCGTCTTGGGCACAGTTGGCGTTTGACTGGTCAGTTGAAAAGCTATTGGCAATGCTGCACTTCCTCAGGCGCCTCCCCAAGCAGCAGTGAAACAGCGGTCGGCTATCTCGTAGTATAACCTTTTTCTTTTTGATGTTTGCAAACTGCTACCCAGACCCAAGCTCATTTACCCTTGTGTGTGGCCGCCTGCACATCTGCCGAATGCGCCAGGCAGCTATGGATTTGGCCAACATGTTGTGACATGTTTGTCTGTCCTTGTTTGCATGCTCACTTGGTTGCTCAAGTCTCCAATATCCGGTTGTCGAGCCGCACCGATGCGTGCGCACATATATATATATATATATTTACAGACACGTATATGCGTTTGTCATATATATATATATGTACATACATGTACATAAACCAAACATATTGCGCATTGCCAACCTGCCAGGCCATCCGTGGCAGCACTAGCACGGAGCCCCAATTCCTCACATTTGTCTCGTTCGAGGCGCGGCAGGCTGCAATAATGCTGCTGGTTGTTCCACAGGAGCGCAACTCCATGGAAGAAAGAACGGCTCTTGAGACCGGTGAAATCTTGCATTACTTGAAACCATCAACATAGAAGGAGGCAAAGCTAGGCAGATTTGCAGGTTGTTTAGCTTGTTTTGGGGGAGGGATTGACGCAGACCACGCAATCACTAAGACACCAGAAGGTGCCAGAAGATTCGATGATAAATGAGGCCAATCAGCAAGAGGCACTGGAGTCAATAGAAACAGGCTAGTCAGCGGAAACCTTTTGTGGAGATTGCGCTTTATGTTTTTTCTTCGCTGCATAATTCACGAAGGCTGTGTTGACTGCATTCCAATGTGACAGAACAATGTCTCAGTTTTGCAGGAGCCATTCCATCAACCAGCCTCGTCCAGTATCAAGTCAAGTTGATTGTGATGAAAGTAGGTCTCCCTTACAAGGCTGGGGCATCCTTGTGGATCTTTGCTATGTACTGTAGTTTCTTTTCAATTTTTGGCCGTGGCTCGGATGCATGAGCTGTCCACCCACCATCCATACATCCGCGCATCCACGAACCCATGTATCCACGCATCCACGCATCCGTGCAGCCATGCCCCCACCCAGCCACTCGCCCGCCCACCCACCCACCCACCACCCCAAGCGCCTTTGCGGTCCTGCACGGGCGCACCCATGCACCCAACCCTGCTCGCCCTGCCTCTACCACCCCGCCGCCTCACCAAACCAAACCAAACCAACACCACGCCACACCTTTGCCTAGAAGCACCGCGTAACTTTGGCTGCTATCCATGGTCATCGGGGCATGGCTATTCCCTTGTTGGTTGTGCAGACTGCACGCAGAACATGCCTATGGTTCAGAGCTGCTGCAAATCAACCAAGCACCTGAAACTGGATTGAGAGTCCCAATGCCAAGATGTGCCGAGGTATTGCTGGGAGAGGCTAGCTGTAGTTGCAGCCTCCAGGTGATCGATGCCCTCTTGCAGTATGGGAGTTGAGGCTCACTCCGCAGCAAAGTTGAATGGCGGTTCCATCGTTTCATGTTCTCCATGTGCCCTCCACGGTCAACCGAAAAAGGCGTCAATCTGGCCTTTCAGGCCTTGGGCATCTTACTCATGATCTTAGCTTCCAGAGGGGCTTGGTCTCACAACGATCACTGGCAATGCCATCATTCGGTTGGAAGCAACCTATGTGTCTATTTTACAGACATTTACTTCATCCAAACACCTGCATATAACAGCTACATAAATCTTTTTCTGCGACCCCGGCTTTCTGAGTTGAGTTGCTTTTTCAGTGTCGGATGGCCAGAGCAGCTTTGCGTTGGGGTTCCATGAGTAATATGTCCATTCGCCTTTGATTGCTGGAGTTCTTGAATCGAGGAGCCGCCTTGCGGCCCTCCAAGCCCCCACTGATGCTGTGACACAGCATCGCCGATAGAGCATGCTCTGCAAATGCGTCGTTTTCTCAAGAAGGGACACCCATTCTGTCGGTTCTTAAGAAACAGCACCAAGAAGATAACTTGGAGGCGTTCCTGATATTGGCAGCAACATGTGTCAATGGAATTAGCGCATGTGGCAGTGCCGGCATTCTAAATTCGCACAATGGGACGTGCAAGCCTCAACCCTGAAGGTTGCAAGGTAGCACTGGCCAAGTCCCACCTGTCATTCCCCAGTCAATCAAGGCTCAATCAGATTGCCTGATTGACCTCGAATCGGCGCTTGCGCCCACTCAAGCGTTTGGCAAGGGCTTGCTGGCACAGGTGCCCTCTAATAAGTTTGAGGTTTGGTGGACAAACGGACATCAATGCTCGACACAAGCTACGTGTTACCGGGGCCCTGATTTAACAGGCAAAGAAATGAGGACAAAGCGCAGGAGCCCCTACGGCAAAGCTGACGCCTTCCCATGTGGATGTCCCACAGATGACGCAACCATGAGACCTGCCTTCAGTGTTTTTTGTCTTGGCTCGCTTTGTAGGCCTTGGGTTGCGGCTTCAGCGTGGCAGTGCTTCTGACATCCTCTTCCGGCAAGTGGTCAGCCACGGAAATGCAAGCTCCATGGAGACAAGTGCCCGTCCTTGCCTCTTCTCTGCTGGCAAGCATATCTTCTTGCCATCCCGTATCTACCTAAGGGATATGTTTTGAGTTGTTTCCTGGGCTGATCTGAGGCCAACACGGCCTGACCGGTTGGTTGAGGTGACACTTCGCCATGTCTTCCAAAGAGAGGTCTTCGAATCTCAGGAGCCCTCGCGCGGAGCTTTTCAAACAGAAGGGGTCAAAGGGCTGGGGAGGGATGCCAAGTTCCGGCAGCTTTTGCAAAGGCGACCTGATTGTTGGTTTCCTACTGGCCGGAAGTCAAAGTACATATTTTCTCACAACATGAGTTGTTCTTCAAAGTTTGGCAAACTGTTGGCCCTTTTCAGATTAATCTCTGTTTGATCAGACTCGAGCCTCAGGACAGCAGATGAAAGTGCTCGAGCTTAGGGCATAAGAGAGCATGAGAGGAGCGGACACGCGGCTGTGAAGGACGGTGCATCATCACCCTTTGTCGGATTGTTTGCCAGCACTTGGAGTTGTCTCCTCGGACTGCCGAATCAAGCAAGTTGTGTTCAGACTGAACTGGGTTTGGCTCAAATAGGGAACCCCCAAAATGGTGGTTCCCTTAGGTCTACGACGAGTCCAAAAAGTCTGCTTAGACCGTGCCCCCCCTTTTTGGGGGTTCACGCTTGTGACCTCACCGGCCCAGTGAGGCAAGCTGCATTGTGTTCTCCTGGCTTTACAACACCGCCAGACAAATACAAGCATAGGTGTCCTTTTTCGGTTAGTTTGGTTAGAGATAGATGAGCTCTACTGGTTTAGATTGGTTTTCTTCCATTCACCAGGGCCATCTATTTTTCCAAAAGGTCACCTGTGGATGCAACATATTGCGGAGCCAGACCTGATGTTATCATGAGGTTGTGTTGCGACAACTGCGATGAAGCAACTGTTCAAGAGGTTTCGACAGCCAGGCGTCTGGCGGCATACTCAGCGTTTCAGGACGGACCGTTTGTGGGGAGGGCCCAATGCCAAGCAACCATTGACAAGCAAACTAAGACTTGGAGCTCCGGTTTGGTGCAATACCGGGATCCTTCGACATAGCTTGTACCCCAGCCGGTCTTTGTCACGTAAGCTGCTATCATGACTCCGCTCATTTGGCGGCTTCTTAGCCAATAGTAGTCCTCCGGCACCTTCAGCAAACTTGGAGCACAGCATCCAATTGAGGGACGCATTTGATGCCTGCTCCGCAAGCCCCAATTGCATTCGCAGGAGTCTTCGGCGGTCTTTGGCGTTTCCTTAGGCGAGGAGCCTTAGCCACGGGAGGTGAACGGCTTTCGGGACCTGAAAGAGGAAATGAAAGCACCAGCGGGACCGGGCTTACAAGAGCCTGTTGAAGCAGACTTTGATATTGACACATTCAATCCCCAACGGTCATCGTCTTATCCGCCTTCCCGAAAAATAAAGGGGAAAACAACGCAAGCAGAGCTTTGGCTCAACATGTTCCAACGCTACATTGATACCTTAGCACGCAGAATGTAGCGTGCTTCTCTTTGATGCCTTGCCGTCCAGCCTTCAAGTGAATTCCTTTTTGCACAAACAATTCCTTTTTGCAAATGGGGTCTGAAGTAGTGTCTGAATCTCGCGTGCTATCGCCAAGCATTCGCTGTCATATCGGCTCAGAGTCTGCCTCGCAAAGTATCCTGCCTGTTGCAAATCTCCCTCAAGGCGCGGAAGAGGTGAAGGGTGTGTGTGCGTGTGTGTGTGTGTGTGTGTGTGTAAGGCTGCAGAGCCAGGGACCAGCAATTGCTGGCTGCAATGCTTTCAGCAAAGAAATTGTATGGCTACCAGACCAGTCCGGATTTGCTGATTTGCTTCACTGGCTGAGGCACATGCAGCATCTTTGACTGCAGTTGTCACATATGTTAGCAACTCTTCGCGGCACTTATGTTGGGGTGATGCAACCCAGGGAATCGACTAGACAAGTATCAACAACCCCTCTTCTGTTGTATCATTACAGCACTGCCTGGGTTGAAGCTCCTAAATCTTGTCTGCTGTGCGCGAAGCGCACAGGGGGCTTAAGCATGTGCAATGCTGCGAGCAAGCGCGGCCTGCTTTGATTTAACACAGTGGCAGATCTCTTCTCAATTCCGAGTTTCATTCTATCGAACAGCTCGTGGCTTCTCCTGCGACCAGCGGCTTTCCCGCAAAGGCGCCCCATGCGCAAACCGGCCAATCGTCCGCAGGCTGTAGTAAGGATGTTCGGGAGCCCAGAGACAGAGAGAGAGAGAGAGAGACAGAGAGAGAGGGAGAGTGGGAGAGAGAGATTTGGACACGGGCCGTGATCTTTCAAGCTGTGAGTTGATAGTTTGCGGCTGCGAACATGATTTGAGTACGTTCTCAATAGATTTGCCTTTGTCGAGCCAGACGCGAGAGCTGCCGATCATTCACCAGGATGCAATGATGACTGGCATTGTCGCTTTCCCTCAATTTGCATGTGAAAAGCGGTGCTGCAAATTTGTGGTTTGCGGAGGCATCGGAGTTTCCCCTTTTTCTACTTGGCTGTAAGGCTTCCAGGGGCTAACGACCTGGAAGCTGCGGACCTGAGCTGCAATGCCACTTCCACTCAGAGCAAATGTATATATCTTGTATTGGTTTTTGGTCCGTAGATGTATCATTTGGCAGGGCCCAGAAGCCAGGACCACGGATATGCATGTGAAGTCAGCATCCCTGAAGGTCCCCTGGTTTGGGCATCGGGCATCACCGCACACTGCCGCGTTACCCGCCTCAAGCCACGCGGCAAAATGGAAATGGCCTTCGGGCCTTTTGCTGCCGCCGTCTGATGCGGAGAGCTTCGGAGCGATTCCTTGGTCCTGCGCAAGGAGTGACATGGCATAGCTTCTGGAGGGCCGGCAGAAGGGACCACTGGTGGCCAAGATGGCTTTGAAAGCCCTGGTGCTGAAGGCATCAGGAAGCAGATGGTCCGGCCATCTGATCGGACCAAAAGCTGAAGGTCCAGATGACAGTGGACCCTGTGCCAATAGAGCTGGTCACGCAACATGTTCACGTGAACGAGAACGTCCACGGAGCTTTGGCCAACCGAAAGGCTTCCGCGCGAGCTTTGCCACGCGCCGTGGCGGACATCATAGCTCTACGGCATCTACAAAGTGCTTGGGGCACATGGCGAGCGCAACGGGGGGCAAATTGTCGACTTTGACGGGAGCGGCGTCTCATGGCAAGAAAGGTGGCGAGGGAAAATGTGAGCGCGCCGCAGCACAAGCGCCCCAACCCGCCCAAACAAAGTGCGCAGAGGGCCCACTTCGATGTTCAAAATGCGCACCGCGCCACAGCGAGAGCGACACGATCCTCCCAAAGACAATAGAGGGACACGGACAGTTACGAGAGCGAACAATGCTGCGCCAGTCTGTGCAACTACAGGGTCCCCTACTGACCTGGACATCTGGTTTGCTTCCATCGGCGGGGTCGATGGCGTGGGGCTGGAAGAGACGAAAGATCATCACTATGAGGCATTCATGGTGGAGTGCCCGTGCTCATCTCGGCAACAGCGCGCCGACTGGCATCAACGCAGGAGGTGATCCCGAGCTTAAGCGCAAGCGAGATCTTTTCAAAGGCAGGTGGAGACGACTACTTCACTCCCTTTTGAGGATGATGTTCTACAACACCCCTGCGGAGAAACCAGTCAAGACGGAGATCAGGCCTTGCCAGCGGGCTACAGCGCCAACTGATTGCGAGGGACTTGAGTGCGAGCGGCGGGGGCTCGCCAAAGCTGGCTGAAATCAGAAGGACTGGGCTGAAGTTGACTGGGTCGCCCTTCTTCTACAACCCGTGCCGTTTCACTAACATGGGGGCAATCACCAGAACAAGCAGGTTCCGCCTTGCCGCTCTGAACTTGATCGCCGTGGCTTTCGCCCAGCAGAACCAGGAGTTCGGAGGGGGCCAATCGAAGCTGACTCGAAGGCCCTATTTACATACACAATCGCAAAAAAACCCAGTTTGTCATTTGCACGTTGGTGGGTATGTAGCTTCGGCTGGATTGCAGAAAGGCTGTTGCAAAGTGAGCAGGGACGGTCTCTTTGTGGCTTTTGGAAAGCCCTTGATAGAAAACCATGGCCTTGGGCGTAGCTGGCCTCAAGTTTGACCCGCGGAGCTGCCAGCTTCTTGCCATTGGTTATTTGGTTTAATTTTCTCAGCGGTCCCTAGCCATAGCTTTAGAATCCGTTAGAGTTTTACACTTTCTTCGAGTTTAAAGGGTATGACATCTCCCACAAAATTGGTTTTAGCCAGGGATCCGTAGAAGCCGGAAGTCCACAGCCAGTCTCCGCCAGCCTTTGGCAAAGTGCAGCCAGCGGTTTGTTGGTTGATTCTGCACCAGTCGGGGACCGGGCTTATACATTTGAACATTGAGAAACAAAATTGTTTGCGTTGGATTAATTGTGATTTGTGGCACTTGTTTTTGAACCTCTATCCTTCAATCGGTTAAAGTTTATTTCTCTTTGACAGAGATGCCGATGCGATCCAGCAACCCTGAGGTGCTAACACACTTTCCAAAGTGTCTTCGGAGCAAGTTGGTGCTGACGTTGTTGGGTGTGGCATCAGCTGTCAGCCGCTTTTGTTTCCCGCCAATAGCGCCGCTGACTGCATAATAATTGGGCTGTGCCAGGTGTTGATTTGTGCAGCTGTTGCTGATGCTTGCTTGCACGGGAGGGAGTGCCTTAAACATGATTACAATGACGAATTTGTCGGCCAATTGCAGAGCTTTGTGCGTGACAACTAGTTCTGTTTGTGGCTCGCGTAAGTTTTGCTAGTGTGCTCTTTTTGGCGGTCGCTGCTGGTTTGTTTTCGGTTTGACCTTGTGTGAAGTTGCTGCTCCCTACCCTCTGAGCCTTTTTCTTTCTCTGCTGCGGTTTGCAGCGTGATGATTCTCAGAGGCAGCTTACCTAGATGCCAGGACATGTTCCAGATGATGTGCGTGCGGATCCCAGCTATCCAAGAAGCTTGTTCAGGCTGCAGAGTTTCCGCAGGTGTTCCGCTTTGAGCGACCTAAATCATGAGAAGTGCAACAATTGTATTGGCGACACGCCGTCGACTTTGAAAGCTGGACGCGGCAAACGCCAAACCCCAGCTAAACAGATTTGTTTCTCGCCCTTTGCGGAAGCCTCAAAAGATTCAAAAGACGGTGAAGGGGACTTAGAATGCAGTATAAGCTTCAGCACCCCCCGGCATGTGTTTGTTTTGGCCTTGAAATTGCAGCTCATGCTTCCACTACATTTTCATTGATTCAGGCGCAGCTTGCAATGGGTACAGCCACTTCATGGCACATGAAGAATCTATGTGGTCATGAGTGTCCGACACTCTTCTGGTCATGGCGTCTTGATCTGGCCACTAAGGACATGGTTGAGGTGCCGGTTGTGTGCAAGTCCAAGGCGGGATGTTTTTAGAATCTAGGAATATATTTTGTCGTGCGGTTTGGCATGGCTCAATTCGCCTTCTCTCATGTCCATAGCGGGACACTCAACTTGAGGAAAGCTAGGCTTGACATACGCACAGGCGCATTGAGCGAGTGTGAAACTGTCTGGAACCTTCACCCCCAGTGCAAGTGGGCGCCGGCCGCATATTCGCTCTCGCGCGTCCAAGTAAGTCTTGGACTTTAACAGGTTGCCCAACGTATTGTTCTTTTCACAAACTCCCTGCTCACCTTTCGGCGCACTTGACCCCACTGGGCAAAACTTCGTCAATGGGAACCTTGCCAGCCGGTGGGTTGAAGAGAGTGTTGCACGACTGGAGCACCGCGTGCAGGGCGCGGGCATGAACAACGCGGACTGCAAGCGCGAGCCGCACCGATGCTGCCCAGCCGCTTGAAAAGGGAACGGGATGCCTGGCTTCGGCTTGGGCTGAAGCCGCTTGTGTCTTAGAGCTCCGAATACTTGGCTTTGCTGCATAAGAAGCAATTATTTTTTGCAGTTTGCAGAAACCCTAATGTCGACATATGTTTTTTTTTGCAAGCCGTTTGCCCAAAGAACTGCCGTTTCACCAAATGCCACTTTGAAGGTCGTCCAATGATCGGGGTTAGTTGATTCGACTGGGAACATATCCATTTTGATTTGGCAAGCGCCCGCCTGAAATGCTCAATTTGCAAAAGCATCTTTTCCAAGAAAAAGCGCCATCTCGATGAAAAACATTGTCAACCAAACAACTGAAAGATGCCACTGTTCAGTGGATTGGATTGATGCGTGTTATTCGGCTGCTGTATGCGGTTCTAGAGCTCAGATTGGCATTTCTTCG